GGGGGCACTGTCAGGGACGGGGTCTTCAGTTTCTGTATTGTAAGCGTCTGGGGGACAGGAGGGGTGCTACTTGTGTCTGAAGTCTTACTGTCAGAGCTGCTTTTCTCCCGAGAAGAGCCTCCCGGACTGGGGGTTCGCGGCCCCGGTAACCCAGGCCTCCGTCGGCTGCTAGGTTCTGTTTCAGAGCCTGAAGGACTTGCTGGAGTACGAAGGGGACGTGGAGGAAGACATGATGATCACCTTCCAGATATCGCAGACGGACCTGTTCGGGAACCCGACCATGTACGACCTCAAAGAGAACGGCGACAAGATCCCCATCACGAACGAAAACAGGAAGGTAGCCAGTGTTTCTATGGCATGTGTTTTGTGTCTCTCTGAACAGAGTTTGAAAACCAACCCACAGAAAGACCCAAGAAGCGAAGCGACCAAGTTCTTGACCTGGGGCAGGTGGTCCGGGAACACGTGGTCGAGCCCGAAACTAGGAGGGCGAGTGTGGCTCTGGCGGGACCCACAGCAGAAGCCCCGAGGAGGGCGGCAGGGCCCTTCAGTGGTGTGTGGTTTCTGTTGACCTCTGGAAACAACGGAATAACCCAGAGTGTTATAAGTATACAATGAACGTTTGAAAAAAAGTGTTTATAAGTTTTGATATATTACACACACTGAGAACATAAAAGTACATTCTCCTTTTGGGGTTTGATACAGCAGCAGCTTCCCGAATATTCTGCAATAGAAACCGTGAGATTTCCTGGTTTGCTTAAATTAACTACATAGTACTCGAAATGTCTCTCGGGTTTGCACACGTAGCTGAGGGAACCTCAATTGTGCTGACGCCCAGCTTTATATTCAGTCTAGTTAATAAAATACCAAAATTGAAATTTATTAGTTTATGTACATGGCCTATCTACAGGTTAATACTATTGCAGAGAGCTGTGAAATTGTTAAAGGCATTTCCCTTTGTATATTTTTGAATATTTTTTCTTTGGAAAGATACAGAAATAATAAAAAAAGCTGTGTACTTCAGTAGCTTGTTGTGTGTGGTTTGTATGTTATGTAAGAAGTTCTTGTGGTTAATGTTCCCGCAGGAATTTGTCAACCTCTATTCTGACTACATTCTCAATAAGTCGGTAGAAAAGCAGTTCAAGGCTTTCCGGAGGGGTTTCCACATGGTGACCAATGAATCTCCCTTGAAGTACCTGTTCAGGCCGGAGGAAATCGAACTGCTTATATGTGGAAGCCGGGTAAGCGCGGGCGGCTGCGGAAGCACCGTGTTGCTTACTGTTTGCAGTGCTGTGGTGCAGAGGATGTTAAGACGTATTTTATTTTAAATTTGCAGAATCTAGATTTCCAAGCACTAGAAGAAACTACAGAATATGACGGTGGCTATACCAGGGACTCTGTTCTGATTAGGTGAGGTGTTTAATTTTTTAAAAAAAATCCGTCACTTTATTTAAAACATTACAATTATAGTTGCCATGTATTATGTTTTCAGGTGTACAGCCTAGTGGTTAGACTACACTTAGATAACTAAGTTACTAGGATATTATTGACTAGAGTCCTTGCTGCACTTCACCTCCCTATGGCTGTTTTATCACTGGCAGTTTGTACTTAATCCCTTCCTATTTTCCATACATCCCACCTTCTTGCAACTGTCAGTTCTGTGTATCTGTGATTTCTGCTTTCTTTGGTTTGTTGTTTAGATTCCACATTTAAGTGAAATCATACGGTGTTTGCCTTTGCCTGCCTGACTTTTTTCACTTAGTTTAATACCCTTTATTTAGGTCCATCCATGTTGTCACAAGTGTCCAGGTTCCCTTTTTTATGGCTGAGTAATATTCCATTGTGTATTTGCACCTAGGCTGCTTCCATATCTTGGCTATTATAAATAATGCTGCAGTGAACATAGGGCTGTATTTATCTTTTCGAATTAATGTTTTTGTTTTTATGGGATAAATACCCAAAAGTGGAATTCTTGGGTTGCATGATGGCTCTATTTTTAATTTTTGGCAGCCTCTACATTCCCACCAGTGGTGCAGGAGCGCTTGCTTTCTGCTGCGTCTCCGCCAGCACTTGTGTTTCTGGTAAAAGCCATTGTGACAGGTGTCAAGGCCTGGGCCCATTTTTAAGTTGGCTTGTTTGGGTTATAAGTTGGGGATACCGCGTGCTGTTCCTTACGGAGAAATGATGTTTTAAATCAAGGTCTTAATTTTGTCTAGCTTTTATTATAATATAAAATTCTCACTTAATACTTACGTCTTAAGAGCACGTGATACATGGTTTGAAGGGCAGACTAGTCCCGTGAGATGACGCATATAATCGCTTCCAGATCAGTCCCACTTGTTAGTGATGTCCTAAAGGTCTTTTTTTTTAATCCTAACCTGGGGATATGTTTTTCTGTTGC